AAAAAAAAAAAAAAAAAATAATATACAAGATGGTGGTGTAATGGTATACACTGAAATTTTTTTAGGATCATAAGCTGTTGAAATTTTTTATTTGAAAAACAGTTTGGTATACACTGAAATTTAATATGTTATTGTGCTCAGTATGTTTTTTTTTTTAAAAGAATATAATGAGTGAAGTTTGAAAACCATTAATTTTCCAGTTATATCCTACCATTCCTTAAATTAAAAAAGGTGACTAAATAACCCTTTACATGATAATCCCTTTAATCATTTCCTTCTTGGATCTTCTAATCTGATTGAACTCCATAAGAAATGATCCCCATATTTTTTTATCGGGTCCGGGAAGAGAGCCCTTGGATCTGGGCCATCACAATCCATACCCTTCAAGGTCAACTCCGACATGTAATGCCCAGACTCAACTACGTACATGTGATATTTTTGGATTAGGAAGTATAATATTGTATGATACGCGATACGTATAGTACGATACGGTGTGATACACCTAAAAAACGATACGTATCTTATCTTTCTATCGTTTTGGTACCATATTTTACTATACATACAATATGTGAAGATTTTAATTTTTTAAATTTTTTTTGGACTAAAATGACATTGTTTTACCTCAAGACTTATTTTTTAATCATTAGACAATAAAACAACGTCGTTTCAGTGGCAATGATTTATAAAAGATAAAAAAATAAAGTTTGTTATTAATTTTGTTCAATTGAATTTAAAATTTCTGATTAATATTAGAGATTAGGTCCAAATAACATTTTCCTTAATATTAAGGTTGTTTTAAGCATTTAATGTTAGAAATTTGAATTAGAGGTTTTTGGATTTTAATATTACTAAATTACGTTGAGAATTTGAATACTTGGTGGAATATTAATGAAATATTATGTTAATATGAGTTTATGATTTTTTTACAAAAGTATATATATATATAATTACGCATATTTTACAATACACGATACGATATGATACACTATTTTTAAAATACGATGTCTTCTGATACGCAATTTGACAATACCAAGTACATTATCTTCCTGGAATATGCAAAATCCTTTATTTCAATCCACCACATTATTCAGAATCAAACTTAAAATACATTTTCTATGTATAATAAACTGTGAGTACAACTCTCATCTTATTGCATTCTTGTGCATGTATTGATCAGGTATTTGAAACTTTATATCCCAGCTGAAGGTATGGTCTAAATGAGAGTTTCATTATAGAAACGGCTCGTTTCATACCGGAGATTACAGCTGGGTTTTAGAATTCTCGCTCCTGATCTTCCATTACAACATTGTGGAATTTCTCCAGCAGCGCCATCTAGGCAATCGTTACATTGGAGCTCGGATAAATCAGGAGTGCACTGCAAAAGTGCATATATCGTTTGAAAGTCAGGGCCACTCGTGTTCCCAGAAGCAAACTTACGTAGAAAACCACCAGATGCTGCTTGTCTCCGTAGGCTATCCAACAAGGTCCTCAGTGCCTGATCAAACTTAGCCACATCGGAAACATTATTGAGGTTGTACATATATGAAGAAGGGAGACTTTGGACAGTGTTGAATATAGAGTAATTTGAGAACCGTAACATACAGTTTTCATTCCATCCAATTGCAAATTTGTAGTTTGGACATCATTGCACGAGCCTACGAGTAGAGTCATTGATACAACTACGACAGATATCCAGCTCAAAATCTCCTCAACAAAGCGCAATGGCGTTAACTCTGTCAGAGTTTTGGCCAACTGAGGAATCGTAAAAGCCGTATCGGTCAATATTGGAGGAGAGGGAGGAGAGGAGGGTGTTCTTATTTGCCTCATACATGCTGTTAGTGTCATTGTTCCCGGAACAGACATGGGTTATGAAATCAGGCTGTGCAATGGTGAGGCCAACAAGGTTTACGAACAGGATATGAGAAAGGAAGAAAAGTGGTCTGCAATACCCCATTGTTACTGTATTTATGAAAGAAGTTCTCAGCAGCTATAGACTTGTGAAGGATTATGAACTAATAACTGCAGTATATATATACATCAAGCTGCACTGCTATTATCATTTAAGTACATAAGAAATGTTCGAATTTTCATTGTTGACAAATCTGGGATAAAATATATTCTTGGTCTTTAAATTATGCGTTTTATGTCAATTTAGTACTCAATCTTTTAATTGTGTCAAATAACAAAGGTGTTCATGTGATTACACTTAAGAGGTAACTTCAGTCTCTCAGGGTTGTAATGTAGTCCCTTATATTTCTAAAAAATACCCTCACGTCACCATATTCATTAGTTAATTTAAATCTCCGGTTTTTTTATTAGACTAAAGTGACATAAATTGAATATTTGAGGGACCACATCGATAAAATTGAAATATTATGAATCAAACTAACACAAAATACGTAATTTAACGACCAAAAATATATGTTGAAACGTCAACCTGACCTGATTGTGTATGGAAAAAATGGTGCATGTGATAAAAGTTTTTGGATCATCTGGAAAGTTTGAAAAGAAAATAAGTTTTGATTGTGAGATAAGACTGGTTAAAGGCAATGAGGGAAATTGGGAAGTGGATTTCCCATCCTTGACCTTCTCAACAGCCTAGCTAGCTCCTTAATTTGAAGACGTGTTTGAAGTTTTCTTTAGCAATTAGCATTGAAGGCTTCTAAACTGACAAAATTAAAAGAATGGGAATTCGAGTGACACGACTTGAAAATTTGAAGGACCAAACAAACTCTCAAATGTGGTCACGCGAGACACATTTTACTCCTACCGATATACGCTTCAAATCACCACTTTCAATTGAATCAAAATGACAAATTAGAAACTTAGGAATTAAACCGGCAAAACTAAAAAGATGAGAATCAAAGTGACAGAACACATGTTTTCCGACTATATCTTTAAGTTATCGCATAATTAAATTGCACGAGAGTAGGTTTGGTAGCTGCCCTTCACCAAATGTTTAATTATAGGAATTTTTAAATATTAAATTAAAAAACAATAGTATCTTCCAATCAAATTCTTCCACCATCTTTGCCCATGTAATCATTTTAACAACAATAACTCACAATTCTCTTTTTTCAAATATTTCTTTCCCTTTATTTATGACAAAGCAATTGAAATGAAGCAAAGCAGCTCCTCGAAGATTATGAATAAGTAATTCCTTTTTCATTATATTGAAGAAAAGACCTTCGGCGTAAGTGGTGTAAATATCATGGATCACATAGGCTTTCCACTCATGAATGTATTTATGTATTCTAACTTAACTTGAAAAACTTTTCATTAATCCATATACCCTTATTAAAATAATTAATGAAATGCCAAAAAACAAAATAAAATTTTATTTATCTTTGTGTCAACGTTTACATTTATTTTATGAATTTAGATATTTTAGAAATAATTTACAATAATAATAATAATAATAATATTATGGCTTGTAATGTTCAGATGTTTGAAATACTTTTAAATCATTATATTAACCTTAAAACAATATTAAGACGATGTTGTCCAACTAAATTAAAACATAAACTATATATTTTTTATTTTTTATTGAATTTATCTTAAATAACCATTTTAGTTATACAATGTGATTTGACTTGGGACTTCAGTTTTCATTGGGTCCGCCCTGCCAATTAATAGTATATCGATGCAATTTTTTAGTTAGCGAATGTAGCTATGGTGTACTAATGTGAATATGTATTATTGAATCATATATATATATATCTTTATGTTTTATTTTATTATATTTTCCTATTTTGAATTCTAAAATCAAAACAATTGGTACCAGAGTTAATTAACCGTGACACAAAACAAATAATAAATGCAAAAGAAAATTCGTATGCTCCCCAATCATAAACAAAGACTACCTAAGTAAAGGTTGTGACTTTTGCCTTCTAAGCTTTGGCCGGGAATACTATTCAATGGTGTTGGATGGTTTGAAACTCTGACCGTTTCAGTTGGTCTTGTCCTTTAATAAGCACGCGTAGAAAGAATTGCGAGAACGTCTCTATAAAAAAAAAAAAGTACCACTTGAGCTCCCAGTCAATGCTGGGTCCACTGTGTTTTTTATTATATCAATAAACCTAATAAATCGAGAGAGAGAGAGAGAGATTTCTATGAAGGTAGGAGTTGGTTGTTTTTTTTTGGGAGAATTACAATTATATCTCATAAAATTTGTCACTTCATCACTCAGACTCTCTAACATTTGAAATATTATATACAGACTCCTGAGATTTGATCGCATATAACACTTACAC